TCTACCTTGTAATTTTCTATACACGCCAAGGCTGAACTGTTACAACACTGAAGGCCCATAATGGCAGAGAGTGAGACACACAGAAAGTAGAGAAATTCCACTCCACGGTTAACAGCTTTAGAAAGAGAGGGTGAACAGCTGTCTTGGAGAGCTCTGGGTGACTTGTGCAACACTATTTAGTCCTCATCTGAGTTTCCCAAGGTTTCCCCAGGCCAGCCATCTGCAAACAGCATTGCGGAAATCTGAATAATTTTCTTCTACATGTATTTATGTCAACTCTATTAGTTGGAGTAAAAGAAAGCAGAGAACTGTAGTTAATTAAAAACTAATCTACAATTTGCATGCAAATAGATTTGAGTGTTTATATTTAAACACAGTGTCAAATATTAAGGAATAATGCCACAATTAAGCCACTTGTAAATGAGATCATTTAAGACAGTGTCACCAACTGCCAGGCACAGATTAAGCACTCAGATGAATATTGTCCCTCTTTCCTTCCTTCCTGTCCAGTTCCCATCTGCTTTCCCCATTCCGACAGACTTTCATGTCCCAGCAGTCTACAAGGGTTTCAGGCTGATCACAACTGAAATGGAGAGTGAAGGCCAAGGAGATAAGGAAGGTCCCAAACCTGGCAGAAAGCTTCTATTGGGCGGAAAACTTCCTACTCTGAATGTAAACACTAGGTAAATATTAGTCATTCTTCACTTTCCCCTCCTATCTGAACTCCCCATTTGCTTCCCTGTCAGATTGAAAGCACAGCTTCTGTTTTGTGTCAAGGTTGAAGCAGAGGGTCTCTGTCTGGGGTTTCCTGCCAGTGTGTCATCAGCCTGGCTTAGATCTTGTACTAGATGGAGAGTGCTGTTTTGATGAGTGGGAAAACAGATGAGAGAGTCACTTTTGTAACTTCCTCCCACTCAACTCCCGGCTGTGACAGACACAACAAAATTACAAGTCAAGGTCCATGGAACCAAAGCACCCCTCCCAACTCAAATCCCTAGTCTGAGTGTTGGGAGTAATTGAAGTTGCTCATTGTTTGCGGAGCCGGAGTTAGTGGTAAAGGAGCATTTTCTTAATGTTTTTCGCATTCCTTCTTGTGTGGGTAAAACAGTGCTCTGCCTACTCTGCAAACAGCATGAACCCGAACATGAGACTGTTAGAGCTGTGCAATCCAGGAGCTCCAACACTCTATGCAGCACAAAGCCTCTGCAACCTTCTTACATATTCAGACTCTACGCTGGGTCTAGGAAAATGAACTCGAACTTGGCGCTCATATTGTTATTGAGAAAAAGGTTATGAAAATTATTTTTATGTTCCAGCAACTTACAGTTTTTTCTCTAAGAGGAAGCCCATAGAAATAAAGAAGATCCTAATTCTGGTAGAAAGCTACATGGCAACTGAGTTCTTCCTATTGCAAATGTCAGCCTACCATTCATTGTTTCTACATATAATTCTCCTGATAAGATCGGCCATGAGATGCTTAGAACTTTTCTGTCCTAAATTTATATAACAATGTTAAAGGTGAGTATGTGAATTTCATATATATTCACAAATGCTTTTAAACACTTGAATATTACAGTCAACATTTTCTATAAATCCTGACTGAATTCAAAACCACGTGAGCACACATTCATAGGAAACCACTTCTATAATCAATTATTTTAGTTTTTAGAATAAGGCTGTAAATAATGGTGTCACAGGAACCATTTTCACCACAGACCCAGTATTTAACAATGTTGTCTTAACATATGTGTCATTGAAATCATAGGCAAGTATGATCAAGCCACAATATAACACCCTTGAACACTTTAGTTACAGAGTAGTAAGACTTTAAAGTATTATTATTTCATAAGTGTTTTTTTCTGATAAAATTATTCTGTACTGTGCTCTTCATGAAGTGAATGTTTTATGATTTAAAAAAGCAGGCTACTGTCACCTGCTGTCCAGTCACTTTACGTGCCATGATTTCTAGATAGCTTTAGGTTCACATCTGCTGAAGATTTTACTGTCACTTGCAGCTATACTCAGCTTAGTAAACATCTCTGTGGAAGTAGAAACTTTAAAACTATAAAACCCAAAAGAATGGGTCACAGTAAAGTTCTTTTCCCATTCAAATAAGATGAAACGCCGGAGAGAAAAGTTTCCTTCTGAGTTGATGACAGGTATCCCATCCATCACAGGACGTGGCGAGCACAGAGACTCAGTACGGATAATGCGCCCTGGTGCTCAGCCGCCTGACTTCACCAAAAAGAGAGACTCCCTATTACTTGGTTTCAGACCCTGAAGTCTTTTTGAAATAAAAATACATCCAACTTCAAATAGAATTTTTTTTTAAAAACATCAAAAGCAAATATGAACAATTTGGGAGATTATCAACTAAAGCAATAAAAATCTCTTTAAGTAGTACATACGAATCATTATTTTAAAAAAAGATATTTATAAAGACTAGAAAACAAAGTCTCCAAATCACCATCTAAAGGTTTTTCCGGCGAGGTGTGGTGGCTCATGCCTGTAGTCCCAGCGCTTTGGGAGGCCACGGCTGAGAGCACTTGAGGCCAGGAGTTTGAGACCAGCCTGGCCAACACGGCAAAACCCCATCTCTACTAAAAATACAAAATTAGGCAGAGGCTGCAGTGGTTTGATCATGCCAGTGCACTCCAGCCTGGGTGACAGAGTGAGAGCCTGTTTAAAAAAAAAAAAAAAAAGTTTTTCCACATATACTTTATGTTATATACACACCCCCGCCACCAGCAAAGCATTTGCCGTGGTGCTTGAATTAACTCGTACTTCTTGATTATAAAATGTTAACTGTGTTACACTCACTTGGATCTTCTTACACACCATGACTCTTCTAGAATGTAATAGTTCACTTTAATTTTATCAGTTCTCGTTTACTTTTCAGCTGCTTCTCCACTATACATTGAGTATACTATTTTCGTTTGCCTTTAAAGAAAAATAATTGGGCACAAAATTTTCAAGATTAAAACGAGACCAACACATTTGGAAGAAAGCACTGAATTAGACTAGATGACGATGAAGAGGAATCCAGTCAGGAGGAAATTCCCTAAGTGAGTTCGCCAACGGGCATCAGTGAGGCCAAAAGCAGTAGGCAGAAGGAGGACAAGTCGTGAGATGAGGGTCACTCTTAACGCACCCCTACATTTCCAAACTTGGTCATCTTTGTGTTTGTTCACCGATTTATTTGTCTTAAATTCTTCACTGCTCCATCACATGTAAGAGTGAGGTACCCTGTGTGTGAACAGGGATGAACTATAGCAAACACAACTACAGGACTACTCTGAAGCTGCAACAGTCCCAACTTCGACATCAACAGTAATTCACATTAAATGTTTCGCTTTATTTCGATTTAAGCAAAAACTAAACTTATTTAACAAAATTGTCTGAAATTAGCTTGATGAGATTGATTTTTTAATGAAAAAGCTTATTTGTAAATGTATTATGCTATTGTTATGCAAAAGAAGATGCTAAATAAGATCTACCTAATCACTGAGTAAATGAATAGCTTCACCCGCTCTTAGAAATTGCATTTGAAAATTAAATTAAAAATTTTTAGACAACACGCCTCTAAATTCATTTCAAAGTCCTCAAAATCTAAAAAACAGAAAACACCCAAGATCATTCTAACAGGCTATATCAGTGTGAAAACCACAGAATAAACTCCTCTTGAATGGAATCTATTTCAAATAACTTCTCCAAAATCAAGAAAATCACCTATGAGAAAAACCTTAATAATGTTCCTAAGCTAAACTCTTCAGGAGTTACAGGATGAAAAGAACTTGGACATTTTAGAACCCTGTTAACCTGTGGAAAGTACTATAGCATGACTTCCTTTTTCTGCCTGGTAGAGAAGATACCCCCAAAGTTGTTGGGCTTTCTGCCCTGTGAAGCCTTAACGGATTTGTTTAGGAGCTTAGCAGTCTTATTTCAGCCTTCTGCTCCCGACGCGATAAGCCTCAGTTCATCATATCCTTTGGAACATTCTCATTCCTTGCTGGCGTCCCACTCACTGTCTGTTTGCATGGAAGGTTTGTTTTGATGATGCAAGACTGTGCACTGACCTCAAGCCTGTGTCTTCTACAATGTGGACACATCCACAATGGGCCGAAGCGCAGAGAGCTAACACTTGCCATCGTGGCATGGCACCCAAAACACTGCATCTGGAAAGCAAGAGGAAGGTCTCAGGAAGACACTCAGTGAGGGTGAGAAGGGGTCTCCTTCAAGTTTAAATCAACTATTTCACAGGTAACAGAGCGGAGGCTCAGCAGGGTTCATGACTTCAAGATTCAATGGCAGAACTTGAATGAGTCAGATGATACATAAAGTAGCAGTTGGCAGCCAGGTCTGGGAAACTATTTTCCTTGGAAAATAGAATCATCATCTCATCATTAAAGATTTCTTTCTTTAAAAAATCTTAGAAATCTTTCCTGAATCTAGAAAAGAAGCATCATGACTAGGGAAAGCTTCATATAGTAACAAGGAATTCTGAAGATGATTTAGTATTCAATCATTTGACACTCAGATGACAACAAAGACTCCTTTCCACATGAGTAAAATATCACATCCCATGAGTGAGTTTTATTTCAAGAAGGAATGTGAAGGACTAATATTAAAATTCATTAAGAAAAATAAACACAGTAAAAATTATTTTATTCCATGAGTGAGTTTATTTCAAGAAGGAATGTGAAGGACTAATATTAAAAATTCATTAAGAAAATAAGCACAGTAAAAATTATTTTAAATGTGGCATTTATGACTGTGAATAAATTTTAGAAAATTAAAATCTATAAAAATGGCAGAATAAATTACGCAAGAACTTACGTATAACATTTCCTGCAACCATTTAAACAGGATTGATATCTCCTTTTGTTTTAGATATTCTAAAAAGCAACATTGCTTAGAAAGAGTAAGATCACGAAGTAACTAGGGTTTTAAGAGTTTGCAGTGGTATACAAAATTGTGGGAAAACAGCCAAAAAATACGACTTTTTTTTTTTTTTTTACCTGGTTTAGTACTATATTTGATCCACTCTATAAGTTCTTCTTGTGGCAAATTGCTGAAACTCCCCTTTACAATATTCCACTGGGTTTGCGGATTTGCTGAACCTTGTATTGACATTGCTGCTAATATAGCAAAAACAACAGCACCAGGATGTACTTTGCAAAAGAGCCATCCAAATAGCTGAAACCAAATTAAGAATACATTGGTAATCGTTAGTATAAAGTAGTATGCAATGTTATAAAAACTTCTTCCCAGAGAAGAATGTGGCCTCTGCTAGATCCCAAAAAAAGGATTAATTATCCTAAAGAAAAAGCCCCAAAATAATAATCTTTGGGACTAAAAGAATTCTACCAGCCTCATATAAGTGGAACACAATGTAGGAAGCTCTTTTTCTCAACTCCGCTTTCTACTCCCAGATTCAAGTAAAGCCACAACTACCTATGCAATTTACAAGGCCCAGTGCAAAACAAATGTGGGGTCTCTTGTTAAAAAATTATTAAGACGTTCAAAACAGCAGCAGCAAACATTCAACCAAGTTCAAGGTCCTTCTGAATGCGAGGTCCTGTGTGACCAGCAGGAACCCCACATTTGCAAACCTGCTCCTGGGTGACACTTTTCTATGTTATAAAGTAATTGCGATTTTAATGACAAACCCGCAATTACTTTTGCACCAACCTATATCATCAGTCATGCTGCAGGATAAAGACTCAAGATTGGGGCTTCCCAACCAGCCTCCTCTCCTGTGCCAGCCTGAAGGGGTCAGAAAGGAGGAAAGTAGTGCCTTTCTAACACAATCGACATTCTGCTTGGGAACCTCGAGGCTGGCTACTTTTTTCCACATTCAAATAGTCCACACTCCATAACAACATTCCCTTTGTTCTCTTTGATCTTTCTGCATGTCTACAGAGCTAGATTTCAAGTTTTTTGAGGGCTTACAAACACTGGGCTTTGACTTCTGTCCACTACTCTATCCTCCACTCCCAGAGTGCACAGGTAGGTGCTTAGTGACTATCTGCTATGTTTATGGAGGTGGCTGCTGTTGCATGAGGCTGGTTGACTGATGGAAAGGTGACACTATGAAGCATAAATCTATGAATACAGAGCAAGGAGGCAGTTATCTGGAAAATTAGGCAGCAAACCCCAAGGAAGGCTTAAACTAAATTTAAAAGCATGTCAAGAATGTGCACCAAATGTGTACCAAATGAAAAAGTTTAAGTTTGATACTAAAAAAAGACTATATAATTTTCAAGCACTTATAACTTGACATTGTTAGGATTATTTGTGATATGAACGTCAAAACAAAAAAGTTAATATTTGTACAATTAAGCTCTGCTTTATCACACCTGCAGTAACCACTATGAACTCAGTCTGCACACTAAATCAGTGTTTGTTGTACACCAACAGCTATTTTAAAGTCTTTAGAAAGATAGAAAATGATCAGCTTTGGCCCTTACCCTTTAAGAAAGATACACAAAACCAGAAGTATTTTAAAACTATAATCACTTAAAGACTTTGTAATTCATTATTTTAGGGCCACTCAATAATAAAGGCTAAAATTATTATAGTAGCTATACTCCAACATAACATGTTACCTGTCTTGAGCAGATCAAGATGCCATAACACACATGTGTGGTGTCAAGAAGAGTTTTAGTCTCATAATTAAAATACCAAGGGCTGTATATGCTAACAATTGCAATGCATGATAAACCAGCTGAAAGAAAGAAGAAAATATTTTTTACTCCTACTGTTTGTGAAGTTTAAGAATACTAAGCTGGCAATATGTAGAAAGGGGTAATGCCTCCTTAGTAACAAAAAAATACTACTACTACTTTGGTTTCTGAAATTTGAAACAATTCTTAAAATTCATTTTCAAACTGTTCCATTTTAGTGGAAGGCTAAAATTATCAAGTCATTAAGGCAAGTGTTTCTGTGATTCTCAGAGTCAAACCTGGTTACAAAGCCTACATTTTTGAATCTACCTGATACCATCAGACCAAGAAAAGCAGTGGTAAAAGAAATAGATTCTGCTGCCTCAAGATCTGAGGCCTCATTTTGAACCGCCTCAAACCAGACTGGACCACTAGGAGATGGGAGCAGTAACCAATCACATCTCTGAGAACTCAGGCAAGGTGAGCAGAGAGGAAAGTGATTTCCAGTCATGCAGTAGACACCTCACATATATATCTTAATGGGCTCCAGAAATCAACTGCCACATGCAAAGATGATCAGAGCAGAACAAATGAGTTTCCTAGTTAATTTTAACAAATGAATGATCAGTGAATCTGCATGTAGCATTCTCATAAAAACACATACCAGGCTATTTTCAAGATGATTGCTGACAATTGCTAACAGTTAGAAACTGAACCTAGAAAGGAAAGTCCAAATGCATGCAACTTTAAGATAAGTAAAATTATAGTGATATTAAGTCTTTACCTCTCCATGATCAAACCTGGTGTTTTCTGAACAGAAAACAATATATTGCTACCAATTCATTATTGAAGCACTTACTTCATATATTTGCATTTCAGCTTGCAAATAGGAGTTTACAACTTCTATAACATTCTCTCAGGACACATAGAGGCAAATCAAAATAATCAAAAGTCACATGCCAAACTAGTGCTATATTCTTTTTAAGAAAGTTAACAATAATGATAATGTTGTGTTATATCCTAACTATTTGGGTTTGTGATGGGCATTTATTAGGACAACAAAGGCACACTGTGGTGTCCCAGCTCCCTCACTGGTGATACCCCAGCAAAGCATGGATGAAACACCTTGAGATTTTCATTGAAAACTAAGCACGGAAGATAAACAGGTGGTTATATGTAAATCTCAGTTAAAGGGAAGTCTGGGTCAGAGATGGAATGTGTGAGTTGACAACACACACCTCTCTTCTACATCGATATGTTCCCAAGACCTAGAGTAATACCTGACACTTAGAGCTCAACATTTTTAATGAATGAACAAGTGTATCAATTAACTGTTAATCCAGGTATATATAATCTAATTTGAGAACTTGGCCTCAAAATATATTGCAAACTCAGGACACATAAGGGGGTAGTGAAGGAGATGAAACAGTTCTTTCTTTATTTCTTCACACCAAGTAAAACCATCAGTTACCATTTGTTGAGTACTTACAATGTTAATATGCTTAGCACATTCCATTAACTCTAATCCTACAACCATTTATTACCCCAATTTACAGCCAAGGAAAACTACAGAGCTACTAAGTGGCAGCCAGGACTATATTCTGACTGACTTCAGAACCAATATACTTTTTACTACATCATGCTGCCTCTATCCCACTTTATCTGGGTCTTTTGAGAAGAGAATATTGGCATTCACATCTTTCATAGTTAAGATTTATGTCCTACCTTTCCTTTTTACACGGGCTTTGGTAGTTAGCAAATAAAATGCTTTAGCATGCCACCTCTCTTCCAAAAGAGCTCTGATCCTATTTGAACTGAAAACCCCACAGAAACCCAATGGTTCCCACTGTTTCACAGGCAATCATTCTTGAAGGACAGCTTTGTTTCTGTGAAAAGTTCTACCTTCCTCTTCCAGAGTTGCATACTAGAGCTGAAAACTTCAGAGCTTCCTGAGTCAAAAATAATTTCACCTCAAATGAAGAAAAATTTTGGCACTGTAAACTGGTGAACCTTTTCTTTCCCCAGCCTCCACTCAAATGTTACAGGCAGCAAACAAGGGCATAGTTACAGCAAATTGTTTCTAAATGAGAACAAGGATTCTTAGAGCAGTGCAATAATTTATCATTATGTTGGCAGAGACTTTGGAGGTAAGGGAATAATATAAGGGTGTATATTCAAATTATAAAGAAAATATAGGGTCAGGCGCAGTGGCTAATCCTATACTTTGGGAGGCTGAGCAGGCAGATCATAAGGTCACGAGTTCAAGATCAGCCTGGCCAATATGGTGAAACCCCATCTCTACTAAAAATACACAAATTAGCCAGGCATGGTGGTTGTAGTCTTAGCTATTCAGGAGACTGAGGCAGACAAATTGCCTGACCCCGGGTGGCGGAGGTTGCAGTGAGCCGAGATTGTGCCACTGCACTCCTCCAACCTGGGCAACAGAACAATGCTCTGTCTCAAAAAAAAAAAAAAAAAAAAAAAAAAAAAGAAAGAAAGAAAAGAAAATATAGATACATACATTTGACAACTCTTATCCCCCAAAATCCCACAAAAGAATAAAAGCAGAGTTAAAAGTACCTTCACTCCATCCTCCAATCCCACACTCTTAATAATTGAGAGGATTTATCTTTCCAGATCACTTCTATGCACAAACACACAAAAATCTCCAAATTTTAAACAGAAGTATATTGATCCTATACACACACACACAGGCAATTTTTAAAATTCAATAATGTATACTGGACCTATTTCCATAAAGATGGTCTATATCTCCACTCTATGATTGGACTCATAGTAGATATTTTGGATGTTTCCCATTTCTCACATTACATACAGTTCTACAAAAGGCATTTCTCCTCATCATCTCTGTATTTCTGTGAGCATCTCTAGAGGGGGTATACTTTGCACTGGTGAACTGTGGGGCTGAAGGACAGGCCCACTACATGTTTTACTGTGTACTGCCAAAACTTCCTCCCATCCACTACCTCCCACTCTTGCAAGCATTGATATACCATTAATTTAGAAATATGAGAAGTGAAAAGGTCTTCACTTTAACCCGGGAATGTCTCTTACCAGGATTTAAGACTGCCTTTTTCTATGTCTATTAGTCATATGTAAATACTTTACTTATTCAATTCATATTTACTATCTTTGAGGTATTAGAGAGAAATTGTGGAACAAAATGGTCAAGCCCTTCAGGAGACAGCAGGTCACACATCAACATTTAAGTACAAAGGGTGATAAATGGTAAGAGAGTAAGATAAAGGGTGTGATGGAGGAAAATACCAAGCATGCTATAGCCTCTAACTCTCAGATTATAAACATACTCTGGTTAATTTTGGGGTTTTATTTTTTCCTATACCTAATTTCTGCTTCATCTGAAATTTATTTTCAGAAAAGGAGAAGTATGAATCCAGTTTTATATTTCCCTGCTCATTTCCCAAAAGGCAGTCCACTGGTCCTAAAACCACTCACATAATAATTTACTTTCCCTGCTGAACTGAAGTACAAAACTGCGTCCTTCGAGTGTAGATTATGTGCAGGGCTACTGTCAGATTGTACTGGATGACATCTGAAGGATGAATAAGTGATGTGCTGTGTTCTTACAGATAGGAAATAAGAAGAAATGCCAAGAAGGGAATGGACCACAAAAAATATATATATTATCAAATATTAGGTACACAACATGTAAGTATAAAATTAATAATTGCAGTAAATATCTATTTAATAAATGAACAGAGGAGGTAATAAAATTCTCTTGAGGAGTATATTTACCTTAGCATGTGTCTGTTGTTTAGCCAAGACACCCCACATATCAGCTAAGAACCTGTAAATAGATTTTGAAACACTTTAGGAAAGGCTGCGTTGGGAAAATGATATTTTAAAGTATCTTCTAAACTGTAAAACTTTTAATGAAAAATATAAGTATAGAGATAAGAGATAACTCAGAAAAATAAATAATTACAACAACATAATCTTGTATTTGTGTAGTATCCAATCAAAGTCAATATTCAACAGCCCTGTTGGGTAGATGATATCATCCCCATTTTGTAAAATGAGCAACAAGCCCAGATGGATTAAATGATCACCTGTAGGCAGACAATCACTAAGAAGTTAATTGCAGTCTTGAAACCAGATCTTCTGGCTTCAAATTCACATTCAGTGCTGGTGTTTCCACCATGCCAACGCTTGCTGGCAACACTTCCTTACAGTACACACAGAAAACTGGAGAGCTGGCTCAAAGGTTGATAATCACCGCTAGAAGCATTCAAAACACAGTCACTGTGCTTTCATACTAGCAACAACGGGAGGTCGCCTAATCTAAAAATCTCATTCCAGTAAAATATTCCCTACGACACTGCTGACAGGTTGTAATCCAGCCCTTAGAAGAACCACTCAGCTGCTGCTTGATCGTAGAGCACTTTCCTTATCAGTCAAGATCAGTTCTGGTCAAAAGTCCTACCACCTGGAATTGGCCATGATTCTAAGGAGCCAGATTGTGTGTAACCTTATTTTCAAGGGCAGGTTTTAACAACATTTCAAAATAATTATTATCCGCTTTCCATCTGAATCTTTTCTTCTTTAAATGAAACAGCCCAGCTAATGGTTTTCATCATCTCTCACCACTCAGGTTGCTGTCTTTTGCATATGTTCTGATGGCCAGCTTAGTATTTTGGAGTACCCACTAGGTGCAAACCATGTAAAGTATATGGGGGCAGCACACACAAAGCCCAGTACAGCAGGAACTATTTTTTTTTTTTTTTAGACGGAGCTTGCCCAGTTGCCCGGGCTGGAGTGCAGTGGTACGATCTTGGCTCACTGCAAGCTCTGCCTCCTGGGTTCATGCCATTCTCCTGCCTCAGCCTCCCAAGCAGCTGGGACTACAGGCGCCTGCCACCACGCCTGGCTAATTTTTTGTGTTTTTAGTAGAGACAGGATTTCTACCAGTTCCCTTACCCTATCATAAAGCAGGATTAAAAATTCCATGAGGCTGGACACGGTGTGGCTCAAGCCTGTAATCCCAGCACTTTGGGAATGAGGCGGGCAGATCACGAGGTCGAGACTTGAGACCATCCTGGCTGCATGGTGAAAACTAATGTGAGATCACTGGGAGGGGGAAAGTCAACAAATAAAGAGCGGAAAGAGAAAGCAAGCACTCTTAGAGCTAACCATTTAATATTTTGGTGATTGGCCAGGCATGTGGAGTCACACCTGTAATCCCAGCACTTGGGAGCCGGCAGGATCACGAGGTCAGGAGTTCGAGACCAGGCCCAGCCAACATGAGAAACCCACCTACTAAAATAGCAGACAAAAATTAGCTGGGCCTGGTGGCAAACGCCTGTAGTCCTGTAGCTACTTGGGAGTCTGAGCAGAGAATTGCTTGAACTCCAGGAGGAGGCTGCAGGAGCCAAGATAGCGCCACTACACTCCAGCCTGGTGACAGAGCGAAATTTCGTCTCAAAATAAATATATAAAATGTGTTATACATGGCAAGATTTTTAATATGTGGGCAGAGTCTGTGCTCTCAAGACCAAGATGACAAGTATTCCAATCCTACTAACACTCCTGAAACTTATATAAGCATACCACTTATGAGCAGATATGGACTACACAGTCAATCAAATAATTCAATGATAACCAAAAAAGATGGGAGTCTTCATTAGATGTCAAAGTAGACAAGTGTACTACACTTAACATTCTTTGCTTTAGGAAATCACTCTTTCCATGTGGGCTTGAGGGATCTGTCAATCATATTGCCTCACCCTCTTGGCAGATATGCAATGCTACTCAACCTGGGTTGGCCACTCAGAATAG